AAGTTCCCCCCCCCCCCAGAACAAAACAACGGGGGGGGGGGGGGGGGGGGGGTTCTATAATGCCCCCCTTTTGTTTTTAAATTTTGACCCCCCCCCCCCCAAGAGGGGGGGGGGGGGGGGGCGTTCTCATGTTTTGCATGATTTAGTTTGTTAGATCATAACCACGCGTGCGGAGCAGGGGGGGGGGGATTCACCAGGAGAGAAGAGAGTGATGGCGTTGGCAGGGGGGCAACGGACCGGGTGGGAATACGAAAAAAGAATAGAAGAAACTACGATGTCAACGCGGACTAAGTTGTTGCGATACCAACAAAGAGGACTGGACGGTCTTCGGGCGGCGAAACGAAAACGATGAAAAATGCACCGGCTCCGTCAGCTACCTTATCTTTGTCTCTTAGTGTTGGCTATCTGTTTGCCTGCCTGTCTGTGTCTGTGTTTGTCTGTCTCTGTGTCTGTCTCTGCCGCGCTCTTTCTCCGTCTCTGGCTCTGTGCCTGTGTTGGTGTCTTTGTCTGTCTCTGCCTCTGCCTCTGCCTCTCTCCCTCTCCCTCTCCCTCTCTCTTTCCCTCTCTCTCTCTCTCTCTCTATTGCCTCCCCCTCGCCTCCGCCACTACGTAAGCACATTCCGATCCGCATCTCACCAGGTAACTGACGACGGTATTTGCGAGCCGTTCCTCTTTGCCTCTGAGCGCGGTCTGCAGACGCAGAACCTCGTCTCTCGCCAATGCTTCCTGGCGAAGCAAGGGGGGCGGGGGTAGCGCCCAGTATCATCAACAACAAACAAAACAACAAACCACACGGGCTTAGGGGTGGATAGTGCGCATGCAAGTTACTGCAGGGGGGATGTCACGACACGGAAACGAAAGCAGTCGGAAGAAGAGTAGCCCGGCACGAGCCGGAACACTTTAGCCTATCCAGCAAGACCTCACGTGATTGGTCATCCTCGTTGCCAATCGCAAACGTGTAGGCCTACCAGCTACCCCCCGCCGTCCGAGAAAATAAAGGCGTGGTTATCATTCGGACAGTCATTTCTAGAAGAGAAAAACACGACACCCCCCCCCCGTTTGCCATCGGGGATGGGTTTTCGTCGCTTGGCAACGACGTTGTAAAACAAGCCAATTCACTTCGTGAACTCGGCAACCAGGTTCCCGTTTTGTTTTGCCTTTGTTTTTTTTGGCGGTAACCATGAATGGTGGTCGAGTAGATCATGTTGTGCGGGGTCGAGAACCCTCACTCCGCGCAAGGGGGATAATCGCACCACGTTGTGTTAAAATGGTCAAGCACCCTCGACGCAGTTTCACAATGCTTACAACTGTCTCTGGAAGTGAAAGCACCAGAAAATTAATTAAGTCATACGCAGCTGTCATCCGTACGCAAGGAAGTAAGCACAAGATGCCGAACACCCTTAGCAGGACGCAGCGCACCCTTCATGCGACTCGCCGAATACCTCACGGCGCTTCGCGCTTGGTGATGTGAGAGCCTGGTCCGATGAGAACCCGGCGTGCTCCGTTGCGGCTTTGTAGGGATGCGAGGTCAATGGTCTAACGACTACGGCATGCACGACTATGAGTACCCCCCCCCCCCCCTCCCCCCCCGGTGTTTTCCATCGGGGTTTGGGTTTTCGTCGCTTGGCAACGACGTTGTAAAACAAGCCCCCCACTCGGTGTTTGCCATCGGGATTGGGTTTTCGTCGCTTGGCAACGACGTTGTAAAACAAGCCAATTCACTTCGTGAACTCGGCAACCAGGTTACCGTTTTTTTTTTTACCTCGTTTTTTTTTTTGGCGGTAACCATAATGGTGGTCGAGTAGATCATGTTGTGCGGGGTGGAGAATCCTCACTCCGCGCAACGGGGGATAATCGCACCACGTTGTGTTAAAATGGTCAAGCTTCCTCGAGGCAGTTAAACAGTGCTTACAACTGTCTCTGGAAGTGAAAGCACCAGAAAATAAATTAAGTCATACGTAGCTGTCATCCGTACGCAAGGAAGTAAGCACAAGATGCCGAACACCCTTAGCAGGATGGCAGCTCACCCTTCATGCGACTCGCCAAATACCTCACGGCGCTTCGCGCTTGGTGATGTGAGAGCCTGGTCCGGTGAGAACCCGGCGTGCTCCGTCCCGGCTTTGTAGGGATGCGAGGTCAATGGTCAAACGACTACGGCATGCACGACTATGAGTACACCCCCCCCCCCCAACCCCCCC